AGAGAGAGAGAGAGAGAGAGAGAGAGAGAGAGAGAGCTTAGAAATCCATAAACAGACATGCTGAATCACAAACACCATATTTAACAGAGCAATAATAATGGACGTGCTACATATCCAAAGATAAACAATTAAGTGTATAATAGTGAGAAAATAAATTCAAAAATATATTCAGCAAGATCAACACATGCACCATTTTGTTTTTCTAATATGTAAATATACTAAACAGCATGTAATATTAAAGCAAAATAATGTTACCATGCCGCATCCACATGTCACTAGAGACATGGAGACTCTTCGAAGACCTTCCATGTAAATGACTCACCAAATATGAGGGTTGAACATGGACACGCCATCTATAGGGAGCTTTCCATGGGACACAGAAAATCAGGTTATAGGATAAAATCTCAAAGAGAGTTTCAAAAGAAAAAGGCCCATATGGAAGAACGATTTCCAATTATGTTGAGATACAAAAGAAACTAAAGAAAAAAAAAATTTCACACAGAAAATTATATTCTAAAGGATGCATAAATTTATTAATGAGTTACCAAGACATCATTCCATAACTCAAACTCATGAATCACATTTGAAAGACCAGAAAACAAGAACTGAAAAGACATTGACATGAGTATATTGCAATAGGATCCTATCACCAAAATGACCCTCCAAATCATCTTTGTTCAATTACAATACTATTAAAAAAAATGAAAAGAGAAAAAAAAAAAAAAACTACAGTATTACTACATAATACGAAAGGAGAAAAAAAGAACTATTTTTCATCATTTAATCACACAAACAATAAAATCATGTGCTATGTAACAAATGAACATCAGTGGTGTACTTGTCTACTAGTACAAGTATTTCAATGTGTATCAATTTTAAGGCCTTGCATACTCTTTAGGAGTTACCTGAAGAAGAGTAGCAAACTCCAATTCTGGAAATGAAGCGGGATGCCGGGAGGGAATGTGAACATAAATCATCTGCCATGATGAAATATAATTAGAAAACGACATAACATTGTCTTTATTGAAATGTGAAGAGAACGAGCATTTCAAACCAAAAAGCCCGGCTTCTGGAAAAGTCAAGTAGAAATCATTAAGAAAATAATGCATTTAATCACATAACTCCAATTTGCTCACCAACTGTGGCACATGCACAAAATTTTTCATTGATTTAAAAATTTCCCTTGATTGCTCGCTATGTCGGACACACAAGTAGAACCCTTGTTCGCTTTTGCTTTGCAACTCAAATTTTTTCAAATCCGCAATGAATCACCATATTTGGTAGGGATTCCAATGCATCATTAAAAGATAAGATTTACCCCACTTTACTTTATTTCAACGTCATCATCTAGAACACTAGAACAAGAATGGAAATATGGGCATTGACCAAATAAACACATTGTCAATCGTGATTATAATTTTTGACATTGTAAATTTGTTTTCATTTTTAATGAAATCACTAAAAGAAGTCAGTTTTTAGGCTTGCTAAAGATTTGTAATCATACATGCAATGTCAGGAGCGGTGTTAGGAAACGAGCAAGTCTATGTAACACATAAATACTAGATAAACATTAATTCCACATGGGTACATTAGGCCAGGGCTTTACAATATTGGTAAAGTCTCACCTCAAAACCCCACAACAAATTTCTAGCACTGAAAACCCTTTTGATGGCATTCTATTTTCGCTCCTGACTATGGAATTTGAAGCTCCATCATCTTTTCTCGCTACTGCCAACCACAGTTGCTGGAATCTTGCAACAAAGGTCACAAACCATTTCCAGAACCTCAATCTGACGATTCCAGTTAGGAATCATGGATGGAATTCGGATCCGCACAATGTGATCCTCGTCCCCAATGGGTTTCAATCGCGGTTCTCAAGTGTATGATTCAATGCATATGATGTTTTCTCAATTCGACACTAATTCATATGCACTGATCATGTTTGTGCTGGATGGTACTGTAAACCCACACATCATTTGTGATCCCTTAAAACTTACTACTGCATTCCTTCCGCTTAGAATCGCGCTTCCCTAAGACAAGGATCCCACTCCCATGATAGAGGATTGTACGGACAACAATCCTAACCACAAGGAGCTTCTAGCAATCCACGGCTCCACGGACCCGAGCCAGCTCCCACTCCTGGAAACACACCCACACCCGACAATTATGCTTACAACCATGTAGGTTCAAGATTCATGAAAAGTTTTGGCAAAATTTTCACATTGGCTGCCTACCTAGCACAACCCAGCCCCTTTACCTGGGCATAGGACGGGTTAAGGAAAAATTTAAGGCCCTTACCCTTTAGACAAAATTTGAAGCTCCTTGCATCAAGCAAATTTGACGGATCGACAAACACACAAAATGGACGATTAAAAAAATGATCTACAAGATTTACACGATAGATCATTTTTAGGGCTTGAAATATGTTTTTTAGATCCAGGAATGTCGAAGTAGAGATGATCAATTTGAAGGTTTTCGGCACCCGAACAATATTTTCTGGTGAGATTTAAATTGCAGCTTTACATAGCTGCAGCCCTATCAAGTACTTTCCCGTCTATTATGCTTATAATATATAAAAATCTAGCACCTGTTAGGGATATCAAACACCTGGCTAGAGGATGCTCATAACCTCCATTTCCTTTGGACACAGACCGACTGGGTCTGTCTCACGTTTATAAGTATGTTTGAGGGCCTATAATGAAGATAATGATGTAACATGGTCCACAATTTGTGCCAGAGTTCATGTGCGAGGGGTAGTATAAGTTTTTGTGAGAGTGATTATTAAAGGCTAAGTCAAATTTCACCCAAAAAAAAAAAAAGGCTTAATCCTTAGTCCTCATTATATTGTACTTAAGTCCTTAAGGACTTGTTTGTCCTTTTTTCATAAAAAATAGTTTTACGGTTGTTTCCTCAAGTTTTTAATGCAGGATTAGAAAAACTAGATCTAGTTTCATGGTTCCATGTTGTTAATGTTTATTAGTGGACCACTTATATGGATCAAATCATTGTTTATGAGTTGTGAAACTAATTTTTTCTCAAACATACCTTGCATTGATGATCTCAAGTCCCTGTTCAAAGTATTTTTGAATGGCTGGCTGTGTTCATCAGCAAGTATCCTCCGTGTTTTTCAGGCTGTGTTATGGCCAATATATCTAGTTTGAGTGATTTAGGCCACTCTTGTACCTTCCCGCCACATGGGTATCCATGGACATAACCTCATATTGCATATTACTACTATCAAAAACGATGAAAATAATTATTTAGAGTGGTCGTAATCATCTAAAATGTTCATTGGTGGAAGGGGAAAGTTGGGTATATCAATGTTAAAATCATTGAACTTGAAGAAACAAATCCAGCACATGACAAGTGCGAAATTGAAAATATGACTATTATGCCTTGATTGTTACACTCCATGCAAGCAACAATTAGTAGGGATTCGAACTGCAAAAGAAAATTGGGACTTTGTATATCAAATTTACTCTAAAAAAAAGAATGTGGCTCGAGTGTATCAACAGAGTCAGGAAATTAGCCATCTTCAATAGGGGAGAAGTCTCTCAATGATTATTTTTCATAACTTTGTAGAACCATGATAAAAGGAAGATGGAGAGAAATACAAAGACTTTGAGGAACAAAATTGTATTTTCCGTTCTTGGCAATCAGAATCTAGATTTCGAATTAGCAAGGATTCAAATATTTAGTAGCAATACCCTTCCATTGCTTAAATAGGTTTATTCCTTCAAAGGAGAACTGGCCATTACGGTAGAACTGACCATCTCAAAGAAGCTTGCTGGGTCATGATTGGGTGTCCAGCTAAACTCAACCATCAAGGTCAGTTTAATGCTCCCAATGCTTCATCCACTGTGAATTCAGCAGCTGCTAGTGCAGATCAACCATCATTGTCTACTCCAAAGAGATGACATCAGTGCCTAGAGAGGAGATTAAAAGCCTTCACAGGTTATGCACACCGTTAGAAGGCCTATCCATACCTCTACTCCATCCATTGCACACTCATGCTTTTGCCAATCATGTTTCCGTTACTCCATTTGTACAATCTTGGATTATTGATTCGAGAGCAATAGACCACATGATCGGCATGTCTTCATTATTTTATCCTTATTCCCTTTGTTCTGGTAGAGAGAAAAAATAAAAATTGCATTATGGGTCTTTTTCATAGATCATTGGAAAAGAAACTTTGGATGTTTCTCCTAAATTGTCATTGTCATCTGTTCTTCACGTTCCCAACTTTGCTACAAATTTAATGCCAATCAGGAATATTACCAGACGTATGAATTGTAGTGAGACTTTCTTTCCTTCTCATTGTGTTTTTCAAGATCTGGACATGAGGAGGTGATTGGTAGTAGACATGAAGTTGGCGATCTCTACATTCTTGACTCGACAACAACTACCCGTCAAGCCCTACAGTCCAATTCTAATGTTAACAAAGATTGGATTTGGTAGTGGCATCTCTAACTTGGTCATCTGTCTTTTAAGTCTTTAAGAAGTTTTGTTTTCCATAGTTATTTATTACTACTAGTGTGTCTAACTTTCAATGTGGTCTGTGAACGGTCAAAGCATTGTAGAAACTCCTATTTACCTAGCAATAGTAAAAGCAAGGTTCCGTTTGCTATCGTTCTGATATTTAGATTCCTTCTCGTGTTACATCTTGCTTTGGTTATCGGTATTTTATTTCTTTTGTGGATGATTACTCTTGATGTACCTCAATCTACCTTGTGAAAACCAAAGATGAAGGTCCATAAATCTTCAAAGTCTTTCATAAGATAATAATGACTCAATTTGCTATTAAAATTTAAGGTACTTCAATCTGACCAAGGTGGAGAATATTATAATGGGGAGCTACAATTCTACTTGGAAGAGCATGGGGGAGAACATCAAAATTCTTGCACCTATAAACCACAACAAAATGGTGTACCTGAAAAAAAGAATAGACATCTTTAAGAGGTGGGCCGTGTTGTTCTCTTGAGTATGACTGCACCCAAGAAATTCTGGACTGATGTTGTACTTATTGCATCTCATCTTTTTAATCAAATGCCGCCTTGCGTTTCACACTCCAAATATCCATATATATCTTGCTTAATTTCTATTCAACTTTAAAGAATGTATACTCTAATTTTAGTTGAGGGATTTCTAGTTTTTTTAGGAATTCTAGGGTTCTTATATTCTTTTAATTTTATTTATTTCATGAGTGCTACTCAAGTACTATTCACAGGGGCAAAACTGTCATTATAAAATTTAAGTTTCCGTTAGGATATATAGGTTATTTCAATCATATTATAGACATGTAATGTCTTTGAACATTGAATTGTACGTATAAGAGGTGCATGGAGGCCTTGAGAGGGTCAATTCCACATGAATTTAGAAATTGAAAGACAAATAAGCTTAACTTTTGCAACCCTAGCTTGGGTGTGGACAAGAAACATGTGTCTTCAACTTATGCTTATGCTTAGCTTTGTTTCTTGCTGATTTTACAGTTTCCTTCACTTTTCCCTACATCAAATTGGTATTAGAGCCCGTAATCAACACTGAAAGTACTATAGTAGTGTATAGAGTTATTGTAGGACCGATTTTGTTTTTGGTGCCTTAAGTCAACGACAAAGCGGAGAAGTTACAGTGGGGGTCTAGGGTTTGCTGATTTGACTAAGGTTTTGCCAAAACAGTCTAGATCTTGCTAATTTCAGAAGTTTTTGGTTGATTATTTGCCTAAGGTTTGTGACTTTGGCGAACCTATAGCAGCGAAAAGGGGTCGTATATGGGGGTTTTCGTAGATCCACTATGTGATCATATAGATGACAAAATTGAAGAACTTGAAAGGCGAGTACAATAGCTCGCGCAGCAGTACACAAACCTCTATAATGGGCCAGAGGGTGATCTTTCAGCCCAAGAGGACCTCGAATACAAGCTTTTTCAATTTTGCGCTACACATGGGGAGTCAAGTAATGAGGATAGTGACAAAAGACCTAGATGTGGAGAACATCACTCTAGGGCTTTCGATTTCGAGCATGAAATTCTTGATTTGGACACAAATATTATCGAAAATCAGCAGAATATAGATTGGGATCTGCCAACAATATTCAGCGCATACTTAGATGAAAAACAAGACCTTGTAGGAGACCCACTCCACGATGATGATCAAGATTTTGTGGTTGAATTCGTATTTGACGAGGAAAAAGATGAAGGACTCAAAGGAGAATTGATAGATGAAGTTGTTGATTTAGTCGTTGATATCAAAGATGCACCCATGGCGTGCTCTATAGTAGAGTTTGGGCAAATTCAGCAGGGTTTCATTGCTTAAATGATGCAATTTCAACAAATTTATGTCATTCAAAATATTCCACCAACATACAATGATCCTTTCATCAAGAGTTTCTCAATTCAAACGCACAATCATTGTGTTTTGATTAGTGCAGTTACCCTCCCAGGATCATGTTTATAATATTTGAGTTGAAGAACGCTGGATTAATGCCAATTTCATGTTAGCACATTCATAACTCCATGAGAAGTTTTCTCTAACCAGGGGAGAATGATGAAGGGCAAATTTAAACTTATTTTTAATTTTTATTTAATTTTAAAGGATGTATATTTTGATTTTTAGTTTGACGACTTATCTTGAGGATTTTTAGGTTTCGAAGAATTCTAGGGTTTTTATATTTTTTATTTATTTCATGAGTACTGTTCATTGGTACTGTTCAAAGGGATAAAACTGTCATTACTAAATATAAGTTTAAATTATGATATATAGGTCGTTTTAATCACTGTATGGACATGTAATGTCTTTGAACACTGAACTATAATATATAAGAGGTGTGTGGGGCCATGAGAGGTACAATTCCACATAATTTTTTGAAATTGAATGAGAGAAAAGCTGGGGCTTTTACGACCCTAACTTAGGTGTGGATACGAAACCCTAAATTTCTTCAAATTGTGCTTGTGTTAGCCTTGTTTCTTGCTGATTTTACTGTTCCCTCAAATTTCCCTGCATCAATATTAAAATTTGGAAAGTTATGCACCCACATCCCTATCAATAAGGGACTCTCTCTCACTCTCTCTCTCTCTCACTCTCTCCGCATTTCCTTTTGTTTCTATTCTCACTATCTATGCAGACCTCTTACCTTTGTGTCCTTCTCTTCTCTTCTATTCCTTAGGCCCTCTCTATCCCTCTCCACAATCCTATAGGTCATGGGATCAAAATCCCATAAAGAAGGGATCAACTGCTTCCAGAATGTAAAACCACAGTTCCAAAATGGGTCTGCCTCTGGGGTTGCTATCTCAGTAACTACGCAAAACATTCTCAACAATGAAGTTTAAAGCCTTCAGATATTACAACTAAAGTCCAAATAATTCTGGAGAAGAATTCAGGAAAAACAATAAGTATTCTGACAGAGAAAACATTGTACACACCTTATACTTAATACTACATTGACTGCATGTTTATAGCATAAGAAAACATCTTATTATGCAATGGGTTATTATATGTCAATGCATTGATATTTGAAACTGACGAACCTTTGATATATAAGGCAGCATTGTTCCCCTATGTGCTGCTGCCATGCCAAGCAACACCCCCACAGTTGTCATATCATGCTCCTGAGGAAGTAACATCATCAGCAAGGTTGCACAAAACAACAGGTTCAAATGGGTAACACAAATATTAAATTGATGGTGGAAAATAACCAAATATTAAATTGATGGTGGAAAACTCTAAGATCAGAGCCATTTCAGAGTATACAATAAATTCACAAAACTAACATGAAGCATGAACTACAACAAATACAGGTTCCAATCAACTGGGCCGTTTTACCACATTCTACCTATGTATGCGTAATACTACCAGTAACTCTTTAATCTTTACTAAAATTCCAGAAGGGTGTAGCAATTGCCCTAATGAGAAAATAACAAGGCATAATACATTCTGCTAGGAAAGGCCTTTCAAAGTATTAGACAAGCATATAATATGCACGTTGCGTTATTTACCAATATAAACAGACTGACAAATAGCCCTCAAAGGCAATCCAAAATAATGCTACACAAAGAAAGTCAATTGCACATGTAGAGGAATATCTAGGTCTGATACAAATTTTGCCAACCCTTAACTTTACTGGTAAAATAAAGTTACTCATTGCCAATGATTACACCGGAATTCACTGTACATAGAGCAAGGTTATAAAAAAACGCTGTGCAGCACCTATGTGCCCATGGAGGCCCAGGGCACCCAGCACCTAGGCAAGCGACTAGGCGGCTGCCCAGAACCTCAAGTGCCCAGAGATTTAATATTTAGATACATATGCATATGTGTGTTGTCCAAACACACATATGCAGATATATTTGTCAAAAATGTATATTTATGAATTTATACGTATGCTAAACAACTTTTTTATGCAAATATATTGATATAAATGTTGAAACACATTCAAATCTGACATAGTTGTGGTCACTGACAGCCAACAACCATGACTACAACCATGTGTTTAGAGAGAGAAAAAATGGACTGAGAAGAAAATGCAAGAAAAAGGGCACAAATGCGGAGAGTCGAAACCTCTACCACATACAAAGAGCAACACAAAGAGAAGATGCCCTCCTTCTCTCTCTATGTTCAACTTTTTTTTTCCGCGGAAAATTTTTTCATTCGCCAAAATAAAACCCTAATCATTGCAATACACATCCGCCTTTTTATTACTACTTTTAAAACCTCCTAAATGTTCCTTTCTAAAGATAAACGTCTACACCTCTTTGTAAAAGATAAAACTCCCTAGACTAAAGGACTCTTTAATCTAAGAGAAAAGCCTTCCCTAAAGACAAAAATGTAACCTCCTATAAACCTTCCTAAAAAACAGCATACCTTGTAATTTAAAAAAAAAACCAAAACTTTGCGTAAAAAAGGAAAAAAGCAGGATAATTTCTATCGACAATATTTTATCACTAATTCTTCTTCTAATCCTAATCTGCTCGCTCCAAATAATCTAGCGCGATCATCTCAAATCTATGAAAATCAAAATAAAAATTTAAATTATCCTTCTCTAGAATTGCATCATTCTCCACTGGTTGGAGAAAACATACCCCCAAGTTTTGAAATGAGTTAATCGGAATCCTCCTCATAACACAAGGTTTCTCTCAACCCAAATATTGCACAATTACAATCGGGCTTGATTCTCGGACCTGTGTGTTATAGGTCTGAATAAAATACCCTTGAACTAATTACTGAAGGCTTTGCCACAACCAACTACGGTCGCGTAGGTGGAATCGTCAAATTGGAAACAGCAAACGTCAACCCCATCATTGGGAGAGAAAAGAGTTCTTTCATGTAGCTGCCCCCATTGCCTCCTCTTTAACCTCTTCACCACCATTATCCACTTTAATACCATCACTGCCACCATCACCTGTAACTTGTTCCTCGCCATAGATAGAAACTCCAAGTTCTTCATTTTCATCCAATTATCAAAAATAGGATATCCATCAAATATAGGACCACCTGGTTCTTTATCAAAAACAGAGTCATTATCAAAAATAGGACCATCTCCACTGATTCAAAGAACATTGAATCCAATTGAACATTGAATCCTTTTTGTTGTTCTTCAAAATCAGGTAGATCAAGTTTGATATTGAAATCCCACGATCTACTCTCTCGAATATGAGGCTCCCAATGCTGATACAGTCATCATAGTGTGTCGCGACTAGATTTGGTGCAAAGTGCTAGATTAACTCCTCAACTTGCTTTCTCAAGTCAACAATCTCGATATCTCGAAGGTCTCGTTCTCCCTGGATGGGCTCATTCCCGGTATCCAGCTGTCGACCATGTCCATCAGCCATGACACCTTTTCGAACAACACCACGATTCACACAAGAACCGAGCACTGATACCAACTGACATAGTTGTGGTCACTGGCAGCTAACAAGGATTACAACCACGTTGTTAGAGAGAGAAAGAATGTACAACTAAGAAAATGTAAGAAAAAGGGCACAAATGCACAAAGTCTAGACCTCTACCGTGCACCATCAAAGAGAAACTCAACAAAAGAAGCCCTCCTCTGTCTACATTAAACTCTTTTTTCCACATCATTTTTTTCAATCACCAAAATAAAACCCCAGTTACTGCAAAACACGTCCACCCCTTTATTACTACTTCTAAAACCCCCTAGATGTTACTTCCTAAAGATAAACCTCTACACTGCTTTGTAAAAGGTAAACTTAGACTAACGGACTCTTTATTCTAAGAGATAAACTTCCCTAAATACAAAAATGTAACCGCCTAATTAAAAGATAAACATTCTTAAAAAAAAGTATCTTTTAAAAAAAACTAATTAAAAAAAACCAACAATTTGCTAAAAAAAGAAGGAATGACAATTTCTCGCGACAACATTTTCTAGCTAATTCTTCTTCTTTCAATGCCGATATGCTCACTCAAAATAATCTTAGTGTCATCATCTCGGATATATGAAAATCAAAATAAAAATAAAATAAAAGTTTGAATTGTCCATCCCTTGATTTACATCATATCCCACGAGTCTAGGGATCAAATCCTTGTCCCGATACCAATTGATGAAGTTGAGGTCACCAGCAAACAAACGTGGAGAATTGAGACCTCTACCACGCACCACTAAAGTAAAACACAAAGCAAAGAAGCCCTCCTTCTCTCTCTATGTTAAACTCCTTTTTCCACGTCAATTTTTTTTATTCATCAAAATAAAATCCCAGCCACTGCAATACATGTCCAACCTTTTATTACTACTTCTAAAACCTCCTAGACATCCCTTTCTAAAGATAAACCTATACACTACTTTGTAAAAGATAAACTTCCCTTGAGTGACGGACTCTTTACTCTAAGAGATAAGCCTACCCTAAAGACAAAAATGTAGCCTCCTAATTACAAGATAAGCCTTCCCAAAAAACGGCGGACCTTGTAATTTTTTTTTAAAAAAAAGAACTTAAAAAAAAAACCAAATATTTGCTAAAAGAAAAAAAGAAGGCACGACAATTTCTCGCGACAAAAGTTTCTCGCGACGACAGTTTCTCGCTAATTCTTCTTCTTCCAGTCCCGATATGCTTGCTCCAAATACTCTAGCATATAAAAATCAAAATAAAAAGTAAAATAAAATTTGAATTATCTATCTCTTGATTTGCATCAAAATCACTGAAAATTTTGATTCTTCGAATAACTAAAGTACTGAAAACAAAAACAAACAAGTCCATATTGTAAAACTGATTGAATGTCCATATGCCATACTCCATAGTACATACTTCATGCAATCATACTCATAGACTGCAGATCTCCAATGAGACAAAAATGACCAATACAAAATGATGTAATGCAAAAGACCAGTACATAGGAAAAGTAAGATGAGATCTTCAATTCTTTATAACAGTTACTTGAATTTCAATCAACATTGTCATTCTTCATATTCTTCTTCCCTAAACCTTCATATGAGTCGAGAACATCATCATCAGAAACATCACCCTCTTCAACAAATTGGTCCTCTTCAATTTCTTATGAATCTGCCTACATCCCCTCCTCCTATTTCCCCCATCCCTTTTTGTGAAATACCAGCAGTACTTGTTGATCTAGAGGCCCTCCTAGGGTCAAAAGATGACTTGAAGCCTCCTCAAGAACATCCCAAGTTAAACCCTCCCTAAGGAAATACCTCTTCAGTCCCAGGGTCTACAAACAACCACTCACTAGCATTCTCGAAAAGAAATACAAAATCCATCGATTTTGGCCGTTTCAGGTTTTAGGTTTCAGGAGAGTATTTGTTACTATGGTGGAGTTAACCCACCCCCCCCCCCCCTTCCTTTCTCTCTTTCGTCCTTTCTATGTATCGAACTACCAAATCGTACCCTAGGTTAACGGGGTTTCCGACTTAATTTATATGGAGGCTCGTTGGCACCACGACCCAAGACGTGG